TGAAGTCCCGCGTGATTACTGTCAATCTTGATCCAGCCTGCGCAAGAGTCGACAGCGCGTGACTAACGGACCGGCTGTGAATGTGTCTTTATTTTCTAACCGACTTCCGAAAGGATAAAATTCCTAATAATAAAAATAAATAAATAAATGCTTTTGGACATATTACCAACGCCATCTAGTTTCTAAGTAAGCAGTTTTTATATTTGAGAGCTGATAAAAATGCTTATATACTTTCTTTTCATAAATAAATACGTCTATTCCAATATTATAAAAACGAAAGATTACATTTTTTTGACGTTTTTTTTTATTATTTTTGTTTTGCAATGGGTAAACCAAAACAACTCAACCGATTGTAAAAATTCTTTCACCCACAGAAAGCTACATTATCAAAAAGTAACTTATCTTAACATATGTGTAGTTTAGTAATTATAATATTTACTTGCTACTGTCATCTGTCACATACTTCAGTATGTGACAGATGACAGATGACAGATGGCGCGAATTTATATAAGGTTATATCGAAATAGTGAATATATTGAACTTAAAGGAGGAGATTAAGAATATACACGAATCAAGAAAGTTTTTTTTTTATCTAATGGGCAATATAACTCCACATATATACAATAATCTGGAAGAGTGGCAGTCCTCCACCGTTTTTCAAGGCACTTTTTTTCACGCTCAACCACTCTTTAGAATCAATTTCCAGCAGCAGTATTTCCGCACCGATAGACGTCATAACCTTCAAGAATAGAGCATATTCCTTTTTAAAAGGCCGGCAGTACACCTGCAATAGCTCTGGCGTTGCGGGTGTTTATGGGCGGTGGTAGCCCCTTAACATCAGGTGAGTCGCATGCTCGTTTGCTTCCTATATTATAATAAAAAAACATATATGCCATTTATTATTTTCAAAAATAATAGAGATCAACACAAAAATTACCTGAAATTTGCCCACCAAAGCTAACATACTACAATACAAACATAAATACAAACAAAATACTAACTTTTCTTTGTATCAGGGTGGAACAAGAAATAATTTGCAGCATTAAATATAATTATTATAACTACAATATCAATCCTCAGAAATGGCAACGCATGAGGGGTATCATGGGCGAAACAGTATACTCTGTTATGTCCATGGTACTGCTCATGTCTATAGGCGACGGTTACCACTTTCAATCAGGTGGGCCGTCAGCTTGTTTACCATTCTAAGTTGTATAAAAAAAAATTAATACAATTTATTATATAATGTATATCTATCGCTCGTTTAGTATTTACAGATTTTTTTTTATTAATAACTAAATAGCTCTTTATAATAATAAGAATAATCTAATAATATTTATCTAACGATATCATCATCATCATCACATCAGCCATTAACGATCCACTATTAAACATAGGCCTCCCCATAGACTACCATAAGAATTGATCCTGAGCCACCTGCACCCAATGAGCCATTATGCATATTTAATTAAACACGTCAAAGTGTCTTCTGCACACGTATTATCCATGCTTCCATACTAATATTGTAAACTAGCTGTTTTTGGCGGGTTTGCTCGTGTGAATCAGTTATAATAATAATCAATCTTTTTATCAAAACAGTAAGTTACAGAATTACTTAATTATGTCCCCATATGGGTAGAGTCTATCTAGGAAACCTATTAAATTATATAGATACACTTTTACAAATTTGTTAGTCCGTGATAGTTATAATGTAGTTTATGTATACTGTAGGACTATATATTTTTGCCTATGTGCGTGTGTGTGTAAGTGTGTGTGTGGTTGGGTATGGGTGCGTGCGTGAGTGCGTGCGTGCGTGCTACGTGCGTGTGTGCGTGCGTTTGTGTGTGCTTGTAATATGAAACTATAGTATATTTGCATCTCGATAAATATTTCAAACCATAAGTTTGATCAAATCCTCTGTATACGTATAAATTAGAGACTGCAGCCAATTACGAATTTTTAATTTTGCTTCTTGCACTGAACATGATTGCGATTACATTTTTTTTTAAGTTCAGCTAGAAGATAACCTAACGGTGTATCAAATATCATTCAAATCCTTTCAGTCGTTTAAGCGTGATTGAGTAACAAATACCCACCCACCATAGCATCCTTACAACCCTTTGTGTATTTATAATATTCATCATTATCATCATCATCATCATCATCATTATCATATCAGCCTTTAATTGTCCGTTGCTGAACATAAGCCTTCCCCTTGGGAGGTTTTGCTAGTAGTTACCATGCTTGGCAGGTCGATTGGCAACCGCAGCTAGGCTTTGGAATTGTTTAATGTTTTATGTTTTAAGATGTGATGTTCTAAGAGGGACGTTGTTGCCTATCCCTCGCCCTCCCTTAGTTGCTTCTTATGACACCCACGGGAAAGGAAGGGGTGATCTATTCTATGCCAGGACTACGCGGCCAATTTTTTTTTTTATAAAAATGGGCTACCTTTTATCCAAGGCAAATAACATATACCGTTTACACGTAAGAAGTCGCGAGTTAAAGCTAGTATCTCATAAATACTATTTTACCATTCATATTAATCCGGCTGGCTCTATTATAGTAACTACGTACAACTAACTAACCCACTGTGAGCTTTGAGTTAACTACCAACCTACCGTACAAAAGCATTTTAGTTACAATTTATTAGTGAGTTACAATATGTTGCCTGTCGAATTACCAGTACCATACAACAGTGGAGTTTTGCTAACAAGTGTGAATATATCAAATATAAATGCACTGTCACTGTCACATATATTCGTATCCCGTAAAAGGAGTGCAACAGTCGCTATAGAATGGCCATAGTAGCATTTTTATACTACTTGGTCACAGAATAAAATTAACTGAAATAAATATGAATGAAATTAATTAAAAATGTAATGGGAAATATTATTCTGTGATTCGATAAAATTAAAAAAAATACAATATGTAATGAAAACATTGGACCTCTTTTATGGTTCTGCTCTCCTAGTGTTTGCTCTGGAATTTTGGATCGTAATGAGTAAAGATTACTCTGCGTGTTATAATTACGTTAACATCTCTTGCATTGCTTTGCTATCCTAGTACTTTTACAAGTACTTTATTTGTCCTTTATTTAATTTATTTATTACATTCATGTGTGCGATATTTTAAAAGTGTTTATAAGGTTTTTTGTCATACCTAATATTTTTTGATACATATATTAATTAATGTCATATAAATTACATGTATTTATTTTAATTTTTTAATTGGTAAAGTAAAAAACGGTGGTGGTAAGAGGAACGCTTTTTACATTAATAGGAAATAAGCTTATATCACAGAGGTGGCATACAAATATACGGCCCATTTGATGGAAAGCAGTTACCGTAGCCTATGAACGCTTACAACACCAGGAGCATTACGTTAGCATCGGCGACCCTAAAGAAACCTCTTTACACCTTTTTGAAAAATTTTAAAATAAATTTTAAAAACTTTAGAAAATCCTTTAGACCCCGCTATTACTAACCGATTTCGAAGAGTAAACTGACTTACAAAATTTATTGAAAATCTTATATTTTATTTATGATGGGTACCTTTGAAAAAATTTAATTCTTATTCATACTACATAGTAATTTTATCTAGTCGATATTTTTATAATAAATATAATAATAAATATAAGACTATTATTTTATTTATATATAATACATAGCATTTTTCTATTTCTTATAATTCCGCATCAGATATCTACAAAATTTCAAATAAGCAATATAGCCTATCTACCTTGACTATTGCAGGAGGAGCACCATAAAACAGATCGCGAACTAGACATGGCAAAATAGCTCATAAATATTACTAAAGACAAGTACACTAATTGCTTGCCACATGAACGCTATTTTCAACGCCTCACTTATTATCCAGAGTAACACAAAATAATGTAGGTCTGAAACTCTGAACAATTTAAACTGTTTTATTTTATTAATTTATTACTCACAAGTAACAACGGAGGGTTTCCTCGTATGAGATAGGATAAAAACAATAGCTATGTTTTATATTTAATATATAAAAAATATAATGGCTGTAATATCAATTAAAAATTTTAGCTTCGGAGTTAGAAAGACTAGGTGATTAGATTATATAGATAGAGCACCGAATCTCAAAAACGGGTCAACTTTTAGCCAGCTAATTAGCTGGAAAATTAGCTGACTCTTTTATATTTATCAGTATTCATTATACTTACGCGTACAATGTATCTTGATGTATTATTTATTAATAATATTACTATTTATGACTTAAAAAAGACGCAGAAATTATAAGACAAAATAAATATAGAAGTTACAAAGGAATCACTCATAACTATTTATCACACAAAAGAAAAAGTTGACCCGCTTTTCTCAGAGCATTTGTATAAAGACACTCTATCTATATAATCTAAGACTAGATGATTCGTACTCATATGAGAAATTTCAAAATCGTCGATTTGGCAATAGTTTGATAGAGCAGTTAGTATTTTTATTGATGGTAATTTTTATTTCTAAAATGGACTTTAATATTTTACACATAGATAATATTTTACAGCTACAATGATTACAGTTATTAAAATCCATATCACTAATAAATACATCAATAGAGCATTGCTACAATAAATCTAACAACGCGATCAACAAACTTCTATTCAACTAGCTCAATCATAAAATTGCTCTATCGTCTATAACAATTAAAGAAAATTGACCACAATTCAGGTCAGTTAAGTCATCAATTCATTAATAGTATAAAATGATAGGTCCATACTACATACGCCGCGAGGCATCTTCACTCTGGCCTCTCCTGGTCGAATGCACTCTCTCTCAACCTGCATACAAAACCCCTACGCGTCGTGCAACCATCCCACCCCACCTGCACATCCATCCCTTTCCACCCAGTATAAAATTTTACCCATCTCATCCACACCTCAAAATTATATTCGGTCGTTTTCGTTTACACTCGGATGCAATAGCCGGTATGCCCCTCAGCTAAACATAATTTCAGTCAGCCAGTCGCTTCCCAACCGTTGGAGGAGGCGTATCGTTGCCGGCCGACGATCTCGCGTCCGTAATATCGTGGGCTCGGTGCAATGCTGTTTGCATAGGGATGTTTGTACCCAGATAGTGGTTCCCGCGTTCGAGGATTTACTGTGCAGTGACTCAATGTGTACCCTGGACGAATGCTCGCCAATACTTTTGTGAAAGTGTGTTTGATTGTATGGTCAACTATTTTGTAACTACTTCTACGGATGTGGCTAATGCGTCGAGATTTGTTTGATTGTCAAAAGTAAACGCATCTGTCAGATGTGAATATTAAACCGTTGTCGGATTGACTGAACATGTTAATGGAACGAGTCAACGAAAGCAATGCAACATCACAGCGGAAACATGAAATGATTCTGTTTCAGCGAAATGTTATGACTTACTGAAACATTTTAATGGCTGGAACACGATATTACTGGGAATACAGCAATAACTTTATGCAAACGTTGAATAAATTACACCGGTGATTGTAAATTAGATAGAATTGATATTGTAGCAGCAATTATTATAATAGAAGTTTCAGTATTAGAATCTGAACGTATATAAAATGTAAATAAATAAGCATTTGAGATAATTGATTTAATTTGTAAAGTATTGTCTCATTATTTAAAACATGTGGGTGTAATAGAGGCAGCAATGAACAAGCAGTTTTGGGATGAACATGTAACAAAACAATTCATTACAACAATGGAGTATTGTTTGTGATTGAGATAGATCTTTTTGTTCGTAAATTACTTTTATTTATGTATAGTTTTGTACATTATGACTAGTGAATAGGATAATACGTTATTTATAATTTCATTAATGATCTATCTGTATTGAATATTGTTTTTTATTAGAGTTCTTTAATCAATCAGTGATTTATTTTTGTTAATTAATGTAGATAAATTGAGAATTACATATTTGTGATTACATATCACAAATATGTTAGATTCTCATCTAAATGTGATTTGATTTAAATTTAAAGTTTATTTAAGTTAATAATAAAAATCCATCAATATAATTGGAAGTTGAAGATGATATAAAAGAGATGAAATAAAAGAAATAAAAGAGATCCAATTAAACTTACAAAATAAAAAAAAAAAAACATTCAAACAAATCTCGAGGCATAAACAAATTGACCATCTAATCAACAGAAATATTTATCGTATTTTGTTTTCAGTTACAAATAAATAAGAACAATAATCAAATAATAAAAAAAGTCATTTATTATAACAGTGACATATCTACGTGTTTGTTACAAATACCCAAGATCTACTTGTACCTGTAATTTGACAAATAATAAACGGCCAAGTAAGTAATTTCCCGATGGTTTTACTTTAGCAAATTTCAACGTTGAGAATTTTCAAGTAATTTCCGAGTGAAATTCCAAGTTCTCCTCGAATGCTTTTGCCAAATATTATAAATGATTTGTACCATCAACAATATTTGGGAAAATAAAGAGCACGTGTATTATCATATTTGAAATAGGAAATAAATATTTTACACGGAAATAAGAAGGTGTAGCGAAGTAAATTGATTGGTCTATAATAATTCTTTTGCACATGAAATCAATAAAAAAGATGTATATTTTTGTTTATATTTCAATTTACAAATGAATTTATTGAAAAATTTCGGAAGTCACATTAATAATATATTCTATTCAATCTTTAGTAATATTATAAGTGTGCAAGTGTGTTTTTTGTTTGTTTCTTAACGCTAGACGCTTAAACTGTTCAATCCATCATTACGAAATTTGTATGCACGTATTACATGAGGTGAAGAAGGATATCAATTACTTTTAATCTCTGCCAATTATTGATATATAAGGCGGTCAAAATTGCTAGAATGCAGATATACTGGTATAATCTATAATCGATACAAAAGAACACATAATGTTCCAAATGGATGTCAGTTCTCGAAGGAATTTTCTAGGGGCCGTCTCACCCACTTCCTTTTCTCATTTTAAAAACGTCTACCATATCAGTGTGGGCTAACTGATAAAAAAGGATGCTCCAAATACTCAGTAAATTCATCATACACCGGCATCCGTTCGGCTTTCAAGTTGAACAATTCTTAACAAATGTTATACGAGTACTCACCTAGTATGCCTGACCGACATTTTGATTTGATGGATGTAACGCGCCCGTACTGACGTTATTGATATTCAATGGTGTATTCTGGTGTTCTTACACTTTTTTTCGAACAGACTTCTATAAGAAGGTTGTTCTCGATTCGGTTGCATTTTTTATGTTCTTTACTGCATAACTCTGTCAGTTATAAACTGATTTGGAAAATTCTTTTTTTTTATCTAAAAGGATATACTTACAGATTGATCTCACATAATTTTATATATATAATTGGTTTTTTGTGGGACATAATCTTAATATTTACTGACATTGACATTGGGATATTGTTTCTTTTAAAAAAGTGTATTGAAGAAAAAAATTACAATATAATATTTACTTAACAAAAAAATTTTTGTGTATGTTACGTCACACCTCCTAAAATATTACTAAAGGCTAACCGTGATTGCCAACCTGCCTGCTAACCATGGCAATTACTAGTAAAACCCCTCTAAGGGGGAGGTTTATGTTCAGCAGAAGACAGTTAACGGCTGTATCATCATCATGATCATACGTTACATTATCCAATTTATGTACTTCATTAGTTGTATAGCTTTCGTTACACTTTCTTGTTACTTATCTGAGCTACTTTTGAAAATAATAGTTACCAACTTTTGATATAAGGTACTCGATGCTAAAGAATACTTTTGTATAATTTCTTCTCAGTATCGCGGTGAAATAAATTTTCAATTATATAAATAAAAAAAAAAAACTGTAGAATTAACAGTTGTATTTTTTAACCAAAGACCACAAATAATCTTGATATAAATATGATGAAAATATTCTAAACATTCCTATTCTAAAGCGCTCAAGTGTAAATAATGGGTATTCAAAGAGAAACTAAAAATCTCAAAGTACTTAGTTGCGAACAAAATAAAAAAAGTATCGGCTTCTTTTCATTAAAGATCATTAAGGTTTGGAAGGACGAAAAATAAATAAAATAAGCGTTCATTGTAGGCGTCTAAGCAAGTTTTGAAGAGAGATATTTTTAACAAAATATTTCTGTGGCGATGATTTATAATTTTGATATCGGCGAACTTTTACCATTTGATTTATGTCCACAGAGAGGTATTATTGCTTTAGAATATTCACTTTCTCTTTCCTTTACGATTCAATCAATACTTTGAATCTTTGTGAGACATTGTTATTGCTCGAGAGTTATAATTCAATACTTTGATATCGGATTGAAATTCTCACTGAACTGGTAATCGGACCATCAAGCTAAGTTCAAAATAAGGAACTTAATGTTATTCGAGACGTGTCGCTACATTTATCCTAACTGGAAGATCTGGCACGACTTCACCGACAGCAAGGCAACTCCATATAAATCTCGCCGGAATATATTTTAACTTGGTAATAGCGGAGAAATGGATCTCGTTGGAAATTCAACCTGGAGAAAAGTTTGAGGATTTCTGTAAAGTAGTTGACTGTGTGTAAATAAGGCGTCTTTGTTTTACAACGGGTACATTAATGTGGTTTTAAATTAGTTCTTAGCTTTATAGCAATACCATTAAAATAATACGAAAGGGAGATTTTGTAAAGTCATCTGCATAAATCGGTTACACTCGTGTTTCTGCCGCAGAGCAGCTATGCTCGCATGCCTGTATTTCGGTTTGATGGCATTATACTTGATATGGTAATATGGTGTATAAAACCAATAAAAATTAAGTACTTACATTCGAAGTATATAGGAGTAACATAAAAACTTGTACATTATCCCTTCGTTTGTTCAACTGGTGCAAATATTTGGAATTGTTAATAATGTTACTGTGACAGATAACAAATCGTTAACAGACATGACCTTAGAAGCATTACATACGACCCTGTTAAGTGAATATGCCAAGTTAAGTGAAACACAACTGTAATTAGACGACAAAATTCCCTATTTATATTCCGACCCTACTGCAGTTAGGATGCTAGCTGAACTCCGATAAAAGGCGACATGTGCCTCTCTCTGAATAGATAATGCGCCGTCCGAGATAATGATGCGAACTTGGTCGAGAACCGACCCACTCATTAAGGAGATTCAACTGATGATTGCCCGTGAAGGTACCCAGTGTTTTGAAAGAGACATATTTCAAATTGTCCTAATGAGTTCGGAAAAGGTTAACAAGATCCCGTTTAGTTCAATCTATGCGTTTTATGTCAACATCAAATATTTATACATATTTTTCATGGTAGCAAAATGTTATTAATTATTGAATCCTTTTAATATTATGAATGTGAAAAATTGTAAATATATTTAAACGTTTGGACGAATTTGAAAGAAATTTTAACACATACTTTATACTCACATTAGCAAAGTCGTGCAAAATGCCTAATGTATGATAAATAAACAAAATAAAAATTACTATAAATACAAATTTTAATGGATCTACGAGTATGTTATCATCCATTTCCTAAAATTTGAGATACACATTATTTTAACTGGATACCCATTTTTAGCACACTAAAGTTTTAATGCATTAAACTTACATAAACTGTATAATCGCCGTGTGGTCCCGATTTAGAATACGCCACTCTTTCATATCTCGTAGGTGCAGTAAAAGAGGAGCCTTATGGTCGTAATGGACAGCAGTTTCCCTCTTAAAACATCACCAAAGCCTAACTGCTGTTGCCAGCCCACCTGCCAAATATGGCAACTACTGGCAAAACTAAAAGGGGAGGCTTATGTGCAATAGTGGACGGTTAACGGCTGATATGACGAACTATATAACTTTAATGCACTAAAACTTTTAAGGATTATCTGAAAATTGGTTTTGTAAATATTTAAAAAATGTGTATCACTACATAGTATAAAACAAAGTCGCTGTCGCTAGCTGTCTGTCACTATGTATGCTTAAATCTTTAAAACTATGCAACGGAATTGGAAGCGGTTTTTTTAATAGATAAAATAATTCAAGAGGAAGGATTATATATATATAATTATACATGCATAATATTGTAGAGAAACACTGATAAATTTAGAAGTTTGTAATGTAATGTGATGTGATGTAATGTGTACCCGCGCGAAACTGGGGCGGATCGCTAGTTTAATATACAACATATATCATACATAACAATTAATTTGTTTGATATTTGTTGAACTCTGTAATAGTGTAAAGGAACTATTACACAAAATATGGACAAAGAATGAATATGTGTTTTCCTCCGCTTTTCCGTACGATTGTCTTTAAAGACAGTCCTGGTAAATCCTGCTCTCCGATAGTACATTATACGGAAAGAACTATCCAAACTCTTGTTTCTTTATTATTTATCGCTAACATTATAATATACAATTCCGTTGTATCTTAATATAAATTTATTAGCCATACCACCCGCTGATCGTAACCGTCAATTATTCTAAGCGGCATCTTCAATAAAAAAACTGAATTATTTGATTAAAATCAAATGGTTATTCTTATAATATTATGCGTTGATTGCCAATATTAGCAACTATTATTAGTAGTTGTACTGTTAGAATTCCTCTGCTTTTAAATAATTTATAATGATGAAGCCTTAAAATTTATGATCTTTTATATTGGCTTCGAATCAAATCGGTCATATTTTTACGACAAATCGATTTCATCCAGTTGACTGTTGATTCATATAAACCAATTAATACAAATCATATTCAAGATGTTATAAGAATGATATCATATTATTTGACATTATCAGATAATTTATTATTTGTATAAAAAACAAGAATTAATACGTGAGATTTTACCAGAGGGAGACTTTGTCCAAAATTCGATTGCTTGAGTACCTCTGTCCCATTCGTGTTTCAACCGTGAAGCAGTTGTGTTTGCATGGCTGTGTTTCGGTTTGAAGGGTGGGATATGGCGTGAATTTACTGGGTACAGAGAACTAACATTTAAGTCCTTAGGAATGGCAACGCATGGGGGGTATCATGGGCGAAACAGTATACTCTGTTATGTCCATGGTACTGCTCATGTCTATAGGCGACGGTTACCACTTTCCATCAGGTGGGCCGTCAGCTCGTTTGCCATTCTAAGTTGTATAAAAAAAAGTGAGATTCACTTAGTATTAAGTTATACGTTATTTATCAAACCAAACATTTAATTGATGTAGAGATGTACTATTATCACAATTTTATAATTAGTAAAATAAATAGATAGATAATTTAAATGTAACAACAGACATAGATATACACAATAAAAAGAGATAAAAGATTACATATACAAAAAA